CCAGTGTGAGCTGAGCACTGGCTGAAGTCAGAAAAATGTTTTCCTATGGATAAACTGGGGCTGATACCACCACACCGAGCTGGTGGTGTTTAATCCTAGGCCTCTTCTGCACAGATATCCCTGCACCCAGCACATGTGCATCAATCTGGTGTTTGGCATTAGAGATAAAGCTACAAATACAACACTGTGAAGAGGATTTCCCTGTGGTTAAAATCTGCTTTTCTGAGGTGCTGCTCCCAGTGTGACCAATAACCGTGTGTCTTTTAAGTCCTTTCCAACTCTCTTACAATGCTCACAGCAAATTAAAAGTGCTGAGTAATGGGGTATTCAGCAAGAAAAAAAAAACTCTATCCAGACCATTCCAGCTCCAAAAGAATATACATCCAATTTTTCAGCCAGGGGTTGTAAAAATGAAGACTCAGTGCTGGTACAGCTGAGAGGATGATGTGACCCACGTAGCTCATTGGTGCTGCGATAGCACCCCAGTGAGTCAGGCCCCACCATGCAAGTTCTATGTCAGGATCTCTTCACATGCTGGAGATGGATGTCTGGGAACCTCTCACAGATAGATTTTGGCCTTGTTATCACTTGTACATCTCCATCACTGCAAGCCATGGGGGCAGACTCTTTTCTTGCTGGGCTTTCTGATCTGGACCACAACCAAATTGCTGCTCTTCTCTCTCCTCCAGCTGCAGTAACTGCACTGGTACTTCCCCAGCTGCAGAGGGAAATAAAATTCATCTCTTTGCAAGCTTCTGCCCCTTACCTTGAAGTGACCGTGCTGTCCTCCAGGTTGCTTTGACACATTCACTACATTGCTACGAACAGCAGAGAAAAATTTTTTCTGCCAAATAGAGAGGTGAATAGATCTCATTTTAGTTATTATTTTCCAGAAAGTTCTGGAGTCCATTTCTTTCAAGCACAAACCAAAGAAAGAATACAGAAGTTAAAATAATTCTGTAGAAGGCAGTTTATTGCATGGTGAAGTGCCAGCTCAAAATGAGCTCTTTTGCTGTTGTTCATTGAATCCTAAAACTATCCTATTTTATCTAGTGTTATGAAAATCTGTAAGCTATAAATATTATATAAATGATATATGATGTCTCACACTAGTAATGTTTTACACTGGGTCAGCACCAACAGCCCCCTACAGATCACACAGTCATGCACAGTTTTATTCATGCAAGACATGGACCCTCTCCATACCACAAAAACGTGCTTTGAAGAGGACTCAGCAGCCCACACACGCCACCACACTGTGCCTTAAAACCCCTCTGTTTCTGTTGTGGGAGACAGCAACTGCAAGAGGCAGAGAGAAGTTTATAATGCCAATGAAGCAGCCTTTGCAGATGCAGAATTCAGCCTTGTAGATTAGGTGATTAAACAATTCTATAAAAACACCTGCTTTAGATATCCATCTTCCTCATCTAACTCTTTGCTTTCAAAGTAATACTGACTAAAAAGAAAAAAAAAAAAAAGACATAAAACGCAACAATGGGCACAGGCCCTGAAGCACTGCAGGCCTCTCAAACAGCTCCCTCTCTCCCATGGCCCTGTGCCCTCCTGCAACACGCTCATCAGTTGAGAAATGTTTTTGACATGTGGTGGAACAATAATTCCACTGATGGCAATGAATACCTTTTTCAACAGAGCACTGTGCAGGAATATCTCAATCTTGAAAGCTCACCTGTTTTCTCCTCTGAATGGATTGTGTTTACCTGCCTTTACTACAAAAGTCCAGTAAGGCCCAGGGTCAGTACTCCCCTCTTCCTTCCTCAGCAGATGAGCAGTAAGATATGTAAGGAAAGGATTAATCTGGACAAGAAGCTTTGCAGCGCAGCACTGCAGCACACTCTATTCCTTTTGGACAGACTGGAGGTAAGTCTTAGTTTTTCCTCCCACATAGGGTATGCACCAGCTTTCAGGTTTTAATAACATTCTCCAGTGCAGCCAGAAAAGGAAAATCATTTGATGGGGAGACGCTTCCAGCAAAGTACAGCCTGCTCCGGCAGCAGACACTGTTATTTAGCAACACTCAGCAATTCAACAACATTACATAAGACAAAAAGAATATATTCTATCAGCTGTCATCCTCCTAACTGAGGCTTAGTGGATAACATTTCTGTTATACAATATTATATATATATATATATATATATATGCAAATAACACAGTGAATAAGTTAAAATGTGTTAAATACTGTCCTATTATAGAGGCAAACAATCTATAATCATGAGAAACATGGTTTGGAATACAAATAGGAGCAGAATTCATTCGAAACATCACAGATACATGAGATGCCACTTGTTTTGAAATCTCTAAGATGCCACAGGGATTTCCTACCTTCAGCCTAAGTGTGAGGTGGGGAAGAGAAAGAACAGTATAGGATTAAATTTAAATCTCCTAAATTGAGCCAAGGTCAGAATTATCCATGACGGAACTTGGCTAAGACGGACGATCCTCTCTGCTGCTGTCCTTTATAATCATCTTTCCTTTCTCTCTTCCCTCAAAAATAGTATTAAAAAATTAGGGAGAAGGTCTATTTTTCACCTGAGGATAAAAATATTTTTTGTTAGGTTCTCCAGAAGTGAATTGACACAATTTTTTGAATGGAACACACAGTTACGTACTGACTGCACAGCAGAAGTATAGTGCACTGGCAACTGAGGCTGCTGCTGCAGGTATTTGTGCATAGAGCTGCTGCTGCCACCCCACCTCATACTCTGTTTCCATGTCTGTTTCCAGCTTGAACTGACACAACCCTGTCTGCTAGGAGTCGTTTTTGTCCAAAAGAACACTTCCATATTTTGTGAAGTTTGACATGGAACTCTGTCATTAGTTCTCCTACAACTATTTTTTTCCAGTGAAATGACTACAGGGCTTAGCTGAATCATGTCTTTACACTACCCCCGGAAGTTATATGTTTGCTTGTGAGGGGAGACATCAGCAAACAACAATTTACATAAATATATTTTAAAATAGAGTAAAATTATTGTATTTCGGCTTTATTTCTGGACAGTATTCACCAAGGGTGACTTATAACTTCAGTACAAAGATTAGAAATAGTCTTTCACAGTTTACTTTGATAAATTATGCTTTTTTAATTTCAAAGATACTCACCTACACCTTCGAAGCCAGAAATAATTCTAGGCATTCCAAGAGAAACGTCATCATCTGTTCAAACTACACCAGAGAAAACTAAGGCAGAGGTACCAGCTGTAACGTGAACATTTGCCTGCTGATTGAATAAATGACTGAACAATTCCTCAACCATCTGTAGTTTGGCTCAGTCACACAAGGTTAAGTAGTCTTTCAGTTATTTCAGACTAATACCTAAATCAATACTGGAGAATGGAGAAGCAAAAAAAAGTTTCAAATGCCACATGTCTACCACTAAAAGGAGATCAAAGGTGCTCCTGGCTTCAGTAGCTTTTGCTTTCATTCTTTTATGAAACTGTTTCATTATAATTAGTCAGCAGAGCCAAGTAGAGAGTTAAGTGCAAAATGTCTGTTCCTTCCAGACTTGACAGTAATGCAGACACAGCCAAGGCCAGCACTCCTCTACATGGGGCTTCTGTATTCAGCTTTTTTGCAAAAATGAGATACTTTTTTATCCCTTTGAGTCCACACTGGCAGACAGACAAGTATTTTTTGGCTAGTAAATGCTATCAAGCATTTACTTTCTTCTTATAGGTATAGCAACCAAAAAAATATTTCTGTAGGAATTGCTCCTTTGTGCCACAGACCTCAGCAACCTGAGCTGCTAAATTACAGCTCCCAGAAGCCACATAGAGTTCAGCCAGAGTGGCATGAGAACCACTTTGCTACCCCACAATGATTCTGACACCAGGACTTTTGATGTGAGGTAGCTTTTCGAGAGCCATACCACCGATTCCAAATTTCTTACTAAAAACACCAAAAAGACAGCAAACTACCTTTCCACAGGGCACCTTGTTTCAGTCAGAGTATTTTCATGGAAATGTTCAGAACTGTGATTCATTCTTTTCCAGAGGTGAGGTCTCCAGTCTTTCATTAGGTTTCATCCTTTAACAAAGTATAATTACAGCTCATTGCACTTTTTCATTCTTACTTGTCATATGTAAATCCTACTTGGACTGAAAATCATCCAGTGTTGAACTGGATTCTTCTTGTATAGGTACTCTGAATATTCTTAAAAGAAGCAATTGGCCTTTATTCTTATTCAAAAGACAACATCCGCAGAATTGCTTTCCAATTTCATACTTAAAATTAAGACTCCAAAAAAAGGTGCCATTTTGTAATTCAGTAATGTATTTCTTGTAGCATTTAAGTCTTTTCCCATACATTCTTGGTGCTAAAACTGCCATGACATTTTTCAATACTTCAAATAGAAGACTGTTCTTCAGAACAATCATACTGCAAATTTAATGATGAACACTGCCATGACATTTTTCAATACTTCAAATAGAAGACTGTTCTTCAAAACAATCATACTGCAAATTTAATGATGAACATAGCGGGATTTAATGTGGATTTTATGGTCGAGGAGTACTGACCAAAACTATGCAAAAAGAACATACACATATACATTAACTGGGACAACAGTTATGACCTTTATGCTTTATAGTCTGGGAAGATCAGTGGAAAAATAATTAAAGCACATTTCTGAGATGGCATAGCAGTTCTGAAGCATAGGGCAGTGCCCCCTGTCTGCACGAGGATGTGTGAATTCACATATTCTCACAAGGAATGGGGTTACAAAACTTCGTGTATTTCTGCGTAGCAAGTCCATTTTCTTGAGGCAGCTTGAAGGAGCAACAGGTTGTGTTCCTTCTATGTAGCCAGTATCTGCATTCAAAATTTTCAAGATTTAAAACAGGTGGATTCAAGAAGACAGAATGTCCACTTGCTTGTAATGTACATTCTAGCAGTTCAGAGACCTCACCACCAGGTACTCGGGGCAATATCACATCCTGTGCCACAAACACACTTGAAGGTAAAAGAAAACTACGTCAAAAATCTTAATCTTTATGAATTATTTTAATGAACCAAATATGAAGTGACAAACACAGGTCAAGGAAAATAACACAATTGTTTGGGGGGGGTGTCTGAGGCACCCAAGGAAGATAAAACAAAACCAGCCCCACCAGATGCTGACAGAAGGTAAAGATACAGGAATAACTGAGGACTATTCGAGGGAGAACAAGAAAACATAGTGACAGAGATTAATTCTTGCCAAGAATGTCAACCAAATCATATAATCATTAAAATTTTATGTCAAGTGCTTAAATAAGGTGTCTTTGTTTCTTAAAGCAGTGAGTCCACAGAACAATAGGGAATAGGCTATCCCTGAATTTGTGGCAACAGGTCCTATAGAGCATATTCCAGATTCTCCAAATACTGGAGACAGAGGTGGCTAAAAAAAGAAGTAGAGGAAGTGAGGGCCCTTTGTTACCCAGCCTGGTCTCAAAAAAGGAATGTGTTTTCTAGACCCCATAATCTTTGGCATAGGCTCCTTTATCAATGTTTGCGTGAGTGCTTTAATCCCATGACTGTGAAGGTTGCAGCAGTCAGTTTCTCATATACCAGAAACATCAGAGCAGCAGTAAGGACTGTCTGCAGGAGCTTTGCTTCAAGGCCTTTGTAGAGTCCCACTAATCCAAAACGCCTAAGGAGGAGAAAAAAACAAACAAACAAGAAAACAAGTGTGAATAGCTTTCTATAAGTAAATCAGTACACCACAATGAAGAATTAATATCACGAGTTAAAGACAACTGTAGGAATCTTAAACCCATTCTTGATCTCCAGTGCCAGCTACCTTTAATAATATTTTAAAGAGAAAATTCTGCAGAAATTAAAGGTCTTTTGTGCAAGAAACCTGCTTTTCAAGATGAGAGTTGGAATGAATTGGTATCCATATGTATCCTTAATGCCACTTACTATACAGATATTTAGGAGAATTTGGGCTTGTGGACTTATTCTGCAAGATATTACAAAAACCAAGTTGACTGAAATGGTAAGTTTAAGGGAGGCAAAGAAACAAAATTCAGATCCAGCAACATTTTCACCATATTAGTAATGCCTAAGTCTTCTATATCATGGTAGGAGAAAAAAAAATGGGAAAGCTCACCTCACTCTCTGTTGAAGAAGGTAAAGAACATTTCTAAGACTGCCTAGTGTTCGGTTCTCTGGGTTCAACCTGTGGCGTCCAAACTGAAAAAAAAAATGAAGAGCATTTTCTTGTACTATTTCCCCACAGTGCCTGGCAGAGAATGCCACACATACACGAAATCTGGAGAGCCTATCTTAAACTTCTTTAAACATTTTCCATGTCATATGGCCATCAGCTCGGAACAGAGGCCAAAGCTCACAAAGCAAGCATTAAAACTGTATAGGTTACAATAATTTGTTTTAGTTTTAAGATGGATTCTAACAAAGTGTTACACATGGCTGTATCTCCTCTCTTTTGGTTGCTGTGGAAGAAAGAGTCTTCAAGATTTCAAAAGCATAATTTGCAGAGTCTTAGTAGGGATATGACATTCAAAGCAAGTTCCTTCTGGATTGCTCAGCTTTCACTTGACAAAGATTCACTCACACATCTTCAAACCATTACTACATTGAGATTGCACAGCCTAACACAAAATTTATCTGCCCAACAATGGTCTTGAAGCAAAACACTTATGTGTGGACTGCTGTGGAAGAATCTAAAATTGCTTGATCCACCTACCTGGTCTAAATAATATTTATTTTTTACTCACCGCACTTGCCTATCCCCAAACTGGTTTTCAGTAGGCAGAATAGCTGCTGCTGTAGTTTTGTGTCTCAGAGCTAAACTAGCAACTTCAGTAACTCCTTTTCTACATTCACTGATACTCTCATCTGATCCTGTCAGCAAGCTGTAACTATGAATTATTAATATACAAGAGTGGCACACTTTTGTATTTATAACAGCACAGCCTAATAGCTTTTGAAGCCTGCATAAAGCCTCTGTGCTAAGAAAGGTGAACTTGAACAACTGCAAATGGATGATTTTGTTCCCAAAACTTGCTGAAACAACTGCTGCATCTTAGGCATAAGACATTACCATTGACAGCAGGTGAAGTATGCAAGCTGACTTAGGCAGTTCAGAAACTTTAAGAAAATGCCAGGATGATACTGTGTGTCTCAACAACTCAGATGGAAACAGCAGCAAGAGAATGCTAGTGAAAATCTCCCTTTATTAGCTAAAATATGTGCTCAAAATCCACAGTCTTCTCACCAGCAACTAACTCATTTGGTATTGATTAATCAGTATTAAGAATTACTCTCAAAGGGTCAGACCCCCCCCCAAAAACCGCTAACTAGGTTCCTAGTTACAGTGTTAGTCACTGCCCAGATTACTCATAGCCTTCCAAACTATACCATGATTAGGTGCTTCATTCTCCTCTTTTCTCCACCACTGGACAATTTTTGTACTGCAAACAAAGATTCATCAAGAGAGAAAAAAACACATTAATTTCTCACTAGGATGTTAACAGTTCAGTGGTTACTGAAGGAGACTTCCCAAAGGGACTAGCATTCTCTATCAAAGAGAAAAGAGACTTTAAAGAGAACTTCAACCAGGATCACTAAGAACATTGTATTGCTATATCTCCAGAGGCAATTTTAATTTATCTGCTTTTTACTGACACATAGGTTAAAGAATAGTTTCACTGCATAATGAGTAAAACCAGTGTCATGTATGTCATGTGTCATCCTGAAAAGGAGATAGACATACGAAACAGCAAGGCTGGAAGCTGCTACTACTGCCAATTAATTACACAGGATAACTGTTCATTTTATCAAGAAGAGTGCTGTGCCAAACAGTTGAAAGCAAAGGTGCAGAACCTTCATTACAAAGAACCCCAATAACTTTCAAACAAAAGTAGGTTTCTAAAGGTTAAAGGCTGAAAAGGAAAAAAAGAGTCCTATACTTCTACTTTGATGACAGAATTTAGTTATGATGTGTAAGTTTATATGAATTACGTTGAGCTTGTATTAGCTTCTGTGTAAATCTGCTAAAACTGTTTCAAAAAACTCCCTACAACTATATAAAGCATACTGCATGCAGAATGCTATTTCTGAAAATACTAAACCTTTATTCATAGTCTTTTCCTTTAGCATCACTTAGTGTGAGTATTGAAAACTTCAAACAGAACAATGCTAGCTTTAGATTAGGAAAAGCATCATGAAGCAGAGCAAGTCTGAACTGGACAGCACAGGTACAAGAGATGCATATTTCCACTGTTCTCAGCAGATGTGTTCAGGGTTCCTGGCTATTCTTTCATAGAGCAAAGGGACCGAAGTCACACCTAGTGACTGCAGAACTAGAGAGAGTGTGCCTGTGTTCCTCACCATCAAAGGGAGAGGACGGTCCTGCATGGAGAAGTATCATATAGGCCACTTCATTTCACAGCGGGCCACTGTGAGAAAAATCCCCCCTCCCACCAGGACACTGATGGTTTAGCTGTGCTCCCACAGAAAGGCAACTCATCACTGCTTGGGAAGCCAGCAGGGAACTGGCTCACTGCAGCTGAGGTGAGCAGGAAGCTGCAGCTGGGCAGTACACCAAGCTGGCAGCACAACTTACCAAAGCTGTCGTCCTTCTGTCATCGTGAGACAGAAGAATTTCGTTCAAAAAGCTAAAAGGAGACAGATGAAACATGAAGCCACAAGACTGTAGCCACTTCTATAGCAACCATGGAAAGGAACAAGGGCTGAAGCTCTTATAGGGATGTAGCCCCAGGAAACCTGCACTGCCGTGCAATGCTCAGGCTAAAACAGAGCATTCCAACTTTCCTTCCAGTTCTCCTTTACACCAGCAGAAAAAGCATCACAAATTGAAAGCAGACTGATGTTGCAACTTATCCAAACAGAGCTATATTTACTTAAATACTTTTTGTGTCTGTCACTCCAGTAATAGAATTCTTGCTATTAGTTTAGCTTCTGAGGAGTGTCCAGGCTGTTAAAACAGGATAAGACATTGAATGAAAGCACCAGCTCAGCTGATCAAAAATTATGAAAATTTCAGGAAAGATGGCAACTGACAAAATTACACAGTAAACACACTCAAGTCCTGTTGCTTTGAAATACAGCATCCAAAGTATCTTTTTACAGGCTATGAAAAATCAAAATACATTTAGTTCATTCTAATTAGAGAGGAGAATAACTCAAATAATTAAAAAATTGCTTGAAAATTAGCTGAAAATTAATTCTTCCAGATGTACAATTAACAAGAAAATTCCTATATTAGAGAAGTCTGAAAAGTGATACCCTTAGCACAGAAGGCTCGTTTTCAATAATTCAACTAATTCTCAGAATTTATACAAGTTTTAGAACATAATGGCTTTACCATTAATTGAAGGCTTCTCCATACTTAGGAAAATAGCATCATATTTCATGTGGAAATGTTTATTAATATTTAACTGTTATAAAAACAGATTTAAAAGCACAGAAATTAAGGTACAATATGCTTATGCATGGCCAGGTCTCCTCCTTCCTCCCTGCTAACAAGTTTGGTCTTGTGTCAATATTCCAACAATATTGGTACATCCTGAAAGGAGCAGCATTATCCAGCATAGATATGAGCCAAAAGTAAGAAAAAGTGCAAGTGTTACCATTACCACTACAATTGGCCTACACAGCCAGGCAAGTGCTTAAAGATATTTATGAGGGACCTCAGCTTCCCCTGATGAATCACATTCTGGATACTGACAAGGTCAGACCATCATCCAAACAACAATGCCTATGAACAGAACATTTCTTTTATTACTCTAGGTCATCTGGAAACAGATTGGGTTTAGAAGATTTAAATTTAACTTCCCACTTGACGCATTTTCCTTTTATATTCAAAGAAGTAAATGTACGTTCTTGTAGTGCGTAAAAGCAGCGTAGTGCATCGGTTTCTGTACCGATGCACTATGCTGGCAATCCTACCAGCTACATGAAACAAATGTGCACCACTAACATCAAGTTCTATCAGAATCCAAGAGGAGAGACATCCTAATCACTGGCCTGCACCGTGCAAAAATACCTCCCAAAATGATGGGCCCATTAATTCAAATAAAAGCTAGCCACGTGAATAACACTTGCATGATACAGAACAAGTCAGAGTCACCCTGAAACAAAATTATTACTTACCCTCAGAATTGACTGTACTGTCTGCAGAGGATAAGTGAGGGTCGTGGCAACTGCTTTGGCTATTGCACCAATGACAAAAGCATCCAAAGATGTGAGCTGTTCAATAGATAAAGAACATATTTATTTCCACATGGTACCAAAACAGCCAGTTACCCATATATGTTTGGGGATTCAGTAGTGGTACCTGTTACCAGATTATCTAAGGATCTTTGGCATGAAGATTTAATGAAATCCCTAGATCTTCTCAATTTAAAGAGTTAGTTATAGTTCAACCAACTTACTTGCCCACAACTAAAGTTTATTTTTTTACTTCTACCTGCTTGTGCATTTATATAAGGCCATACAACTAGACCAATTTAAATCACCAAGAGTAGACAAAAGATAAGGAAGTATAATTTAAACATATCATCAATGGGCATTTCAGGTTTTGCAACTAAAACTAACAAGTCACACGGTGCTTGTGAAAAGGTGACAGTGAAAGACTCCTTGAACATCACCCTGTAATCCTGAGGCATAATTACTACACTCTCAGGCAGAATTTTAGTCTTGATGACATAGGCTGAAAATCTCATGCCCTATTACTTAAGAACACCTGCTGGAAGCCCATTCTCACTGCCAAAGCCCACACTGTTCCAGGATGCATCAAATATATTGTTATAACCTATACTGATTACAATGCATCTCAGTCTACCAGTGTGGATTAATCAAGGAAAATAAGTAGGTGCCCATATCAAAACGTGCTTGAAATTTCCAAAATATATTGATTGCAATCACAAAAATGCTTACACATGCACATCCTAAAAGGATCAATCTGATATATTTAAGACAATCAGGAAAAGACCAAACAGGAAGAAAAATATTGTCCAAAATAAAAATTACCATTGCTAGGGAAAAAAAGTATTTTCCTTCTCCACTGATCACGGATAAAGAAATGCCCTAATTTAAGGTGGAACTAAGGAATTTAAAAGAAACACAGGAAATAAATATATAAATAAATATGTCATTAGCCAAGAGGCAAACAGCAATGCAGAGGGAAGCTCAGCTCATCACACAAAAAATGTACTGTCCATAATGTAACTGTGTAGATCCATCAGGCACAAATGGAGTGCTACAGCTGCAGTACTAACTAAAGACAGTAAAAGTCTGAAGCCTCACTGATAGTGCAAAATCTCATGTAAAAATAATCTCACTATGTCTTGAGGAAAAACAAGACAGCTTTGAAACATACTGATATGACCTAATGTTTTAAATCAGACAATGCATCCTAAAATCATAAATTAACAGCAAAGAGCCAGAGCTTAAACATATATTATGTTATGACATTATCTGAAAATGTAACGCAAATGCTTTTCAGTTTGCCAGAACATAAAAATATCATGACTTCAGCTGAGATTCTACATCTGATATAGTGAAATACAACAGAATAAGAAAAAAGAAGGGAACTATAAATCAGGGACAGAAAAGTGATTATGCCTCTATTTAGAGAATCAGGAAGGTATGGTTGCAGTATGGTTCAATTCTAGTGTCCATCCATGGAAAAATTACACTGAAGAATTGAGGGCTTCAAGAAAAAAATGTTATTAAAATGACAGGGCCCAGAAAAAAACTGTGATACTTTGAAGGTTCTATATACTTGATTTACTGGAGAAAGTGTTAAAAGTAGACTTATAAAAAATATATTAGAATTGAAATCTCTAATTTAAATCTAGACTTGTGAACAAATGTAAACAAATGCGGACAAGAGGTGCAGTTCTATTGTTACAGGTAGAGGAATTAATCACAGGAATATCTTTCCTAAGGACATGAAAGACTGACACCTCATTTCATGATGCTAGATCCTTTTTAGATACACTAACTCAAAAAATCCCTCCAAAATACAAGAATGAAAACCAAACCTACACTTCTGAATTTGTTCAAGTATTGCATATCAAAGAACCTGTCTTAGAGCATGTTCACCATCTGGCCTCAAAACATACTCACTTGCAGCTGCTTTTTCAAAAGCTTTCGTTTAAAGCCTTCATAAAACATGAACTGTATGGCAGGATTGAAGACCAGAAGCAAGGAGGGGAAAGTACCGTTCCACAAAGCTAAGACTCCTTCATCTCTTATTATCTGATGAAAGGCATCTGAGACAAAAGGTGGGGGAAAAAAGATCATTAAAATTTTGAATACAAAACACCATAAAAGGTAAGAGAAGTTATACTTAAAGCCTAATACTCAAAGTGTATAAAAATTCACAGCAGACTTTTATGCAACTATTTTTACCTTCCATTTTAATCTGGAAGTTAACAGAAAGGTACTGACAAAGGAGGTTCTTGCTCACATCACCACCAACATAAAGCTTATCATCTGCAGAGACACCCTGCTCTTTTTAGTACAAGCACAACATCAACATTAAAGTCTTCTAAACCTTCTTCAAAATTACAACAATATTTATTTGGTTGGTTGGTTTTAAAAGGAAGGCAGCCTGAACATGTGGATGATTAAGAGATTAAGGTGAGTGAAGTTTAATTTGCAGATTGTCTGCCCAAACTCAGACTCCCAGCTATCACTTTACAAGGCTCACTACTGCTCCAGTATCTCTATGATAACATACAAAAGGCATTTTAGTCACAGGGGTGCATACTGCCAACTCTTAATTACCATTAGAAATAGCAAAGTCCAGTTTCCTGTAAAACTCAATGACTGCAAAGTGACAGAAGCATAGATATTACAGGGTGAAACCAGTTATATGAACAAAAGTCTTCAAAGTCCTTGATATATTTCATTTCATGAACTTTTCTTTGGTTGAAGACAACAACAGGTGCTTACCTATTATGCCTCTATAATTAGTTGGTACAATGTCTTCATTTCTGAATTTTGCTCCCTGCAGCTTCAGACGTGTGTTCACTACCCAAAGAGGAGTGGTCAAGAGTACATTCACTACACCTAATGCAAAACACAGCACAAAGAAAAATCAGCAAGAACCAGAAGATTTAAAATTTAAACCAGATACGATTTCATTATAAGGATATAAACTACAGACATTGAAGGAGAGCTAGACATTTAACTAACAAGCTGTCACTCTAATTCCTGTAGCCTTTGTTCAAAAATGCAATTACATGGCATTTTACCACAGTGATATAACCAACTTAAGAACTTCCTTACTTACTTCCGTCAACTTTTTAGCCAGTCACTGTGCCCACACTGAAAGAACAAGAAACTGCCAACTACTCACCCCTCCAAAAAATAAAAAAAAACCCAAATCAAAAATCCAAGACCTCAAGACCTTTTTTGCAGGTTTTTTTTTTAAATCAGCTTGTTTCTGTGTGGTCACATGTGCAATTGTTCCTAAAGAATATTACTGGCAAACACAAGCACACAGCGGTAATTTTTCACACTGGATTTGCTAGAAAGGTCTTTAATGTTATCATCCCTTCAAAGAAGCCACTGTACCATCCACACAGGAGGATGGAATGAAAAAAGAACATATGGTCCCACCGGACCTGCACGTTATCTAGGGACTTCCTGTCACTTTCAGGTGATAACCCAAAAACAAGTCTGAAAACTGACACCCAAATGCTTACAATAAAATTCCTTACCTAACTGAAAATATTTCAGAATTGCATATCTCTTTTTCTCTAAATAAAAAAAAAAAGCCAACTATTACCTCTCCCTGTCACTTATCTTCAACATCTTAGTGATGATGCTTAGATACTGGCAAACACCACATCAGACACAAATACTATACCAGACCACAACAGCATCGTGCTTTGTGTCAGAATTCACAACAGGAATGGTTTATGCATCTCCTTACGAGGTGGGAAGGACATAAAGGAGCAATCAGAATGAAGCAAGTCTGCATACACTGGGAGGTCTGAGCACTCAGCGTGACCTCCAGAAGACTTCATAAAGAAAAACATTAGACAGAATATACCAAAAAATACATTCTTGACAAAACGGAGATTTTTAAGTATTACCTGCAACAACCCCAAGAACCAAGTCTTTCCCAGTAGTTGAATGCTGACCTTTTACCCAGAGGGCTTTAAGACTATTAAATGTATAAAAATAAACAAAATTGGAGCAGCAAAGGCTGGAGATAACAGGGAACCATCCTCGATATGGTGCCAACCTAATGGAAAGCAAAAAGACACAGTAAGGATCAGCAAAGTATTTATGTGATCTGGTTGATCTTACATGTTGGTGGAGGATCCCAGAGATACAACACTGTATGTAACATAAAGTACAAAATAGATGTTTTTATATCAATGCTAACAAACCATACTAAATTAAGGAAAAAAGCAGTCCAGATTCTCACATAAAATTTAAAAATGGAAGACTAGTTACTGGAGTTGATATACTTCACCAAGAAGAGTTTTGGATACGACCTGGGGCACGAGATCCGCAGGCAGGAGGAATTTCTAACAGATGCCTGGCAGTAAATTCTGGAGAAAATTAGTCAGGTCAGTGAGAAAAAGACATCACACCTAGTTAACTTTAACTGTATTAATCACAGATGAAAACCCAAATATCATCTAAATCTGTCTTAAGAACGATTTCGTAACAGCTGACTAACAAAGCTCCCTTCTCTCACAGGCCTGATGAGCCTGTAAAACAGGGATACCTCAACAGCTGTCCTAGATTCCCAGCATGTTCTACAACACATCCAAAAAAAGATAATGATACACACCTTCACTGGAGTTGCACAGAACAGGTAGAGAACTGGTATCATGTTAAAAGCAAAATAAATCTCCTCCACAGCAGTAATTATGGAGGCTCTTTAGTATTCATTAAAATATTGGGAATACATAGAATATAAGGATCTCCAAGGAGGCTGTAAAAGATGCAAGGCTGGTAAACACACAAAAAAATCTGACTGATTTTAGAATGTAAATGCTAGTTTTTTGTCTCAAATCCATCCCTCCCATGTAGCTGGGAATACACCACATTATTAAGACTGCTTCTGAAGTTACAGCCTTAGCTATACATACAGTTATAATTTCAAATTAAATGACTACACAGTTATTCATAAGTCATATTAAAACAATTTTTATATTACCTATCTCTTCTGTGCTGGAAAAGAAAAAGAGAAATCTGCTGTGGGGACTATGCCCTCTAACTGAGCATGTTAGTTTGTTTTTTCTTGATCTATTAAAAACAATTTCTGAAGATTATCAAATGAAACATCTTGCAGTACAAAACATGAAACTAAAACAAAACCCATGAGTTTACTTAAATGACTTAAGTTGTCAGTGGTAGCATCTGTAATTCACACACAAATACTTCTGCACACAAAAAAACCCTAAGTTTGCATTCCAAACTGCAACTTTGAGAAAAACTCAAGTGTACGCCAACAAACACCTTTCAAATCACCCAGAAAAAGACAAAGTGTAAGTAAGAAAGCAAAGTTGGTGATAAACTTCTGCAGAAAGTCCATTAGCTAAACCTATTTGCTTTATCTAGATGAGAACAAGCAGCTCACAAAAGTACATTATGAGACAAGACTCTAAAGCTAATGTGACAATACGTTTATGATCTCACATCACATTTCAGTTTTGCTGTTGTTTGGTGTGTTTTTGTTACTCCAAACACATCTCTAAAATTAGTACCATTGCTTAGCCAGGCCTTCCCAATACCTTGGAAGAAGCGATGTCCTTCTCTTGCCAGAGTTACTGATTTTTCAGTTTCACAGGAAAAGTAGGATGACCACTTTTGCAGTCTCTCCACCCCAGTTAACTTCTTAATTTTTCTTTTTAACTGTTTTCCTTTCACCTTTTTTTAAATGAAGTTTATGACAAAAGCAAAAAAGTTGCATGACAAAAGCAACACAGGATCGTGAACAAGAGAGATCACCAACTGGCAGAGAACTCCTCATGCGTACAACTGCCAACTGCCCAAGTTCAAAGGTGGCAGAACATTATGGGCCAAGTTAAACTTTTGTCAAGTTTAATGTCCTAGAAGCTCTATTCTACTTAGGAGTTTCAAGGATTCCCTTAGGAAAATACTTCTAACAGGGACAGGCATACAACAGCTTTTCCCAGCCAGCTCACCTCAGACTGTGGCAAATACAAAAGTGCAGCACAGCTGAAAACTAACTGCTTTTAGACAGATCTTGAATCCCACCAGCATAGAGTCACGTGTTATTTACTTCTACATGTTTAGGAGCAGGAAAAAAACCTTCCAACTGGGAAATGTGTCTCAATTCTCCTTTTGAATATGGCTTGGCTGCCCAGGAGTTTCATCTTGGTGATGAGACATTGACACACCCCAGAATGCAGGCAGACAGAGCGGGTTGATCAGGTACGTGAAGGTACGTTTGCATTTCTGAGGAGGCACAGCTACCTCTCTAATGAAGGCACAGTTACATCACTGAACAGATCAATTGCATAAGGTGCTCAAGAAAGTTAATCCTAATTAGCTAAAGATGAACACATAAGATTATGCAAGTCATATCACACTTACATGGAGACATTTCGATTCAGAAAAAAAAATCTGTCCAGACAGATACGAGCTAACTAATCCACTTTAAAAGCAAAGTCAAATTAGTTTTAGAGCTTGTCTACACGGAGATAAGCAGAAAATCAGTATCTACTCACAAGCCTTCTTCTTTGATTATTTCCAAAAGAACTGCCGGTGTTGTCTTAGATTTCCGCTTCTCATCAACTGGAAAACAGAAGAATCAGACTTTTCGATTATTCCAATTTTTAGCACTATTTTTCAAGTCCTTATCCTTGTTATTCTGAATATACCCCAGAAGCACTTGTTTCGTCTTCCTCATACCGGATAGATGCTCCCTATTTCTGCAGCAATTCCATAAAACATCTCCTTATTTTCATTTGCTAGGTGAGCCTACTTCCTTTTTTAATTTTTTCCCAAACCAGCAGGTTCTGCTGTGCCCCAGAGTATCTGTAGTTACCAATTCCTGATAGTTGTGACATGAACTGAAGGTAGGCTTCCCCTAGGTAGGGGACTTGAATTGGGCCTGCCTAACTGCTCTCAGAATTGTTCCCTGGACACCAGACTAGCACCACTAGCAGAGCAGTCTCCTGCAAACAGGTGTTTGCCAACAGCCAAGCCTTAGCAAAACCCTGTCTCTTCCTGCACTGGGAGCCGTCCAACAGCAATATGGTGCTCGTTTCTCAGCCACATACTTCTGACAACCTGGCTGATGATCTCCCTCGGGTTCTTAACAGAGCTTTAGTCACAGTAATAAAATGCTTGGTGATTCTGTGACTTTTGACCAGAAGATAGAGAGTCAGAAAAAAGTTTATGCTCAGATGCATTTTTGTAAATATTGGATATTCCTAATCCCAGTTCTAATCCTGACTTTTTCCTTTAAACTATCCTCAGTAATAATTTCAGACTAGTTTTTCATTATAGTGCCCCTGCATTTTCAAGTGTTTTCATCAGCCAAAACCAACAACACACAAATATAATCCTGTGCAATCTCACATCTTTGTTTTTCTCTTTCGTCTTAGATAACCATTTAAAACCCATGTCTGGCCACGGATCACACAGCCTTTTCAGCTAATTAAAAGGTTGCCCAACACTTTCAAAAGGAAGAATTACCTTCAGCTGGAAAAATGGTGTTAGTGTTAGACACGTAGGATTCCCGTTCACGTAAAATATCCCCCTACAACCACCCTTACAAGCGCCCAAGTCAAGACGAACAGAAACGCCATTGTACAAAGAAACTAGAGTTTGACACTTACCCTGAAGTCTAAGCCTAGCTGTATCCAAAGGAAAAAATACAGTCATTGCAGTCATACTGCCCTGAAAAACAAAATAAACTGGCTATATGGTGTATCAGTTGCTTGTGCAGTGCCTGCTACACTCTTTGTAGCCCTTCACTTCTCACCCAGAAACCAGTCTGCTGAGCAAGTTTAAAAAGGGGATAAACTCCATATAGAACAATGTCTGTATGAAGCGGGTTTTGGTCCCATACTTACAAATCAGGGGTTTTTTTCTCTTGATTAGATCAAGCTATAATTAAAACCATTAAAAGCTTTTTGCCCAAGGAGGACGTTTTTGAAGTCCAAGAGCTGATAAAGTGAGCATCAGCAGACAAATACACTGCATTTTTTCTACCTCCCATTAGTCTCAATACCCAAATTCTAGTTTAAAAAACAAAAGAAGACTGACACAAACAACACTGTGTTACAATAACCTTGTTTTGAATAAGAAAACAACGACCAAACTGAAATTTCTGTTCATTAAAAAACTGATAGTACATGTTTTTCAGGACTTAATCTAGCTTTACACTAAATTCCAGTTTAGGCAATAAAGATCAGCTACCAAGACACTCTCAGTGGCATGAATTACATATAATGAATTCAATAAATCATGACCTAGATGTCACCAGATTCATGTCTTGGGAATCCAATGCCCTCTTCACTTCCTATGTGATCCAACCATTAAAGCCTCTAAATGGAGAAGCTATCAGACACCGTCCTTTACAAAAGGTTAAATACTGTATTTGCAAATACCCATATCTTCCAAACAAGCAGCTGTTCCCTTTCTCTCCCTGCCATCACTCACCTTCTTCAGTTTTTAATACTCCAGCAATAATATTGCACAGTTTTTGGAAAAGAGATCTAACAAAATAAAAAAATAGGCCCTGGCTTGGTGTAAACCTGTTTTCCATGCATCAGGTGATTGCTAAAGCTGTGGCACTCTTCCATTAGCAGTCATGCAAACTGTTTAAATGGTGGGAAGGTCTGGGATACAGCAAGGCACCCAAGTGCTGTGTTTAAAGCACAATGCACACTGTGACTTGAGCTCTTCTAGAGCTGTTACACTATATATATGTGAGCTTTGCCTCTGGAAACACTCCCGCTCCCGAGCAGGCTGCTCGGATTTATCTCTACTGCCAGCAACAGAGGATTATTTTTCGGGTGGTGTTTCCTCACTAGGGCAACTCTTGGTTGAAGTCTTAGCCAGATTTAGGTTTTCCCAATTTTCATAACACCAGGCAGCAGACGAAGGGAAACACTTGGCCACAATTACCTGGTTATTTTAACCCATTCAGTTTGGGCTCTTGCCAAAGCGGTTGGTTCTGCTCTCCCACGCACTTGTCCTGTGTCTGCTCATTCTCAGTACCTACCATGTACCCCGCTGGACAGCAAGTAGGATTAATGAACCCACCTGACTGAAAATTTATAAAAAATATATTTCAGTTAGGTTAGTGCCAGCACGAAAAAGCGCCAGAAAGAGCCAAAATACACCTCCTAATGATGGCTGCACTACCACAATTTCGAAGCCAACCTCAAAACTCAGTTACACACACCTACACACAGAATAAGACTGCACAGTCACTACAACTTCCAGCCTTCCCCTGCTCAATTTATCCTGCTTCCATCCTCATAAAGTGAGATCCATCCTGAATCCTACTCTCAATGCAATCCACCATACAGCAGCAACACACACACACACTTGCACTCAAAATCAGAAAATGGAAATGGGGAAATAGCTGGGCTAGTGTCACACAGGACAAACAGGTGGACGCAAGGCACAAAACAGACTACAGGAAGAGAACTACAGTGATCATCTAGTCCAGCTGCCTGACCGCCTCAGGGCTGACCAAAAGCTAAAGCACATTGTTTAAGTACATTTTCCAAACGCCTTAAACACTGACAGGTTTGGGCCATCAACCACTTCTCTAGGAAGCCTGTTCCAGTGTTTGACTGTCAAACTGGCTTAAAACTTACAGGAAGCTGTAGTTGAAGAGAAAGTCATGAGATAACTAAGCTGACCTAATAGACCACTGCAAATAAAAGACATTTCATACCCTCTTCCCTCCTTTGGCTAAATTGAGGGAAATAAACTCAGAAAAGCCAAGTTACTTTTCTCCTGGGCTGACAAATAGAACAAGGCAACTAAATGATGAGAAGGCTGCCAGAAGCATCATATGAAGAAGACAGGATTTCACAGCTAGAAGGAAGGAAAACGAGACGGATGAGCTGGACCAGTCCTTTCCCCAGCAACAAAAGCCCTCAAGATAAGAGTCAGATTCCTTGCTGAATCACACTTGAGACCAGCACGGAAAGTAAGTCATAGTACTGACTGCAGGAGCAGATGCTGACATGTATGACCCTGCACTGTTGGAAGGATGAGGCTTTGCTGTCAGCCTTCCCACCACCTTCCTGTCAGCCCTGAATCTTGGTAGTTTGCCAAGTCATTTTACTGCTGAATAATCACTAGGACAGGTACAGACTGGTTTATGTAATCCCAGGCTCTTGGTCAACTGTATCTGCACCCCTGCCTCCTCCAGTCTGGCAGCATAACTTTTCAGACACCTACACGATGGTGCGGACAAAGAAACTAATCCGGTTGAAAAACAATTTTTTTCCGCGGGGCTACATCTTCAGTCAGATCAGTTCAATGATCAGTCACAGTACCAGACAGACAACTGTACAGTAGCCAAGAGGTGGCCAGAACAAATGGCCCGAGGTGACTGCTGCCAAGAAGAGCTGCACAGGACCAAAGCCTGACATTCGGCTTTCTAAAAAACAGTAATAACAAAAAATTTAAAACATATACAAAGACTAAATACTATGTTTCAGACAACACTGAGAGTCAAACAAAGCAGCCTGACTACTGCTAAAACGCTCCTATAAAATTCACATCCCTATAGCTTTTGCAACAAGAAGGTTACATTTTAGCTACATGCAGAGTAAAGAATACTTATGTAATTCGATTAAAGTTTACAGGAAATCAAGCACTGATTTTTTTTTACTGCTCACAAAACTATTCCTTTGTCTCAAGTTTGACTAGGTAGCCTAGAAGGTATGCAAGCTTTCAGTATATTAGAAGATAAACAAAATTTATCATGTTGTGATCTGACATGTGCTTCTGACTCAGTACCTCAACACAGCTCTGTGTTTATGGCTGGATTTATGACTTTGGTTCACACCACAAACTTCATTCAGGGGCACAGCCTGATTACACCAATGTGTTTTCAAGGGTGAGAAGCTAACAGTGAGGGCTAAAGAGCACTACTGACTTCTGTAGAAGCCAGTAAAAGGAGTGAGTAGTATTTCAATAGCGAGATAATTCTGCTTTCATTTTTTGAAAGCAGAAACAAAATCCCCATTGCCTTTGATGCTTAAACAAGCTGACTTAAAACAATTGAAGGAGCAGACAAAAATCTCGTGTTTATTTATAATAAAAGCAAAACATCCTTTGGTCTTTTTTTCCTTTTAGAATCAGTCTTTATCACAGAATCACAGGATAGTTAGGACTGGAAGGGGCCTCTGGAGATCATCCAGTCCAACCCTCCTGCCAAGGCAGTCACCTAGAGCAGGTTATGCATCCAGGTGGGGTTTGAATGTCTCCAGAGAGGGAGACTCCACGACCCCCCTGGGCAGCCTGTTTCAGTGTTTATCTTTCAATAACATTTAGTGACTTTCACCCTACAGAAGACACGGAGAGTTCTTTCTATCCATCAGTATGCCCAACCAATATGCTACATGCACCAAAATCCCTAATCTGTTGCAAGTAGAAGGCTGATTTGCTTTTAAGATATTAAGATATTCTGAAAAGAAAAATCCAAGGGCTGGGCATACTAGGAAACCTACCAGAATTAAACACTACTTTCTAATTTACAAGTGTCGTGGGAAAAAAATTTAATTCAGTAACTGATACAAATCTCCTCGGGCTGCACTGCACTCGCCTCACATTTTGATTAACATCTGTGCGCTGCCTCACCCTTCGCAACTCTTAAGCATTTGTGAGGCCGTGGCAGGACGACGATGCCCGGTGCAGCTCTCGGACCGCACAGCTGAGGTGCTGCCCCTCTGCCTGAGCTCCTGGGAGGCTTCGATTCTCACCACCGCAGTGATGCTCAGCTCCCGACGCGCCTCGCCGGCTTTCTGAGGGGGCACCCCTGCAGCTCCTGCCGGCCTCAGCAGAGGCTCCGGCTGCTTGGGCCCAGCGCTGGCCCCGAGCTGCCCCGAACCCCGTGCCCGGTTCCCCGTCCCGCCGCAGCCCAACAAAGGCTGAGGGCGGCCCTCGCCCCCCGCCAGGCCGGCACGGCCCCCTCCCCGCCCGGCGCCGGCTCGCTCGCTCACCACGGCCCCGGACACGGCGTGCACCAGGCTCTCGTAGGAGGCGACGGAAGACATCGCGGCGGCTCTCGGGGTCTGCTCCGCCGCCCGGCCCTGCGGCCCCGCGGCCCCGGACAGGTCTCGGCTGCCGCCCACCGCCCCCGCGCCCGCCATGGCGCCCGCCCCCGTCACGTGCCGCCGCTCTGGCCCCGCCCCCCGCCGGGGCCCGCGATGGGCGGGCGGGCGGGCGGGAGGGAGGCGGAGGGGCCGCTTGGGGTGATTTCCGTGGCTTTTGAGAACAATATAGGACCAGGGGATCCGGGAAATGCATTGTTCTTCCTTCCTCTGAAACTACAATAACGCCTTTTCCCTTCACCACCAGCTTCGCTTCGAGAAGAGGCGGCTGGGCGGGGACCGCATCAGTGTCTATCAGTATCTGGAGGGAGGGTGCCAGGAGGATGGAGCCAGGCTCTTCTCGGTGGTGCCCAGCAATAGGACAAGAGGCAACGAGCAGAAATTCATGCACAGAAACAGGTTGTCCAGAGAGGTTGAAGAGCCTCCTCACTGGAGATATTCAAGAACTGTCTGGACTCGATCCTGTGCAATGTGCTCTAGGATGGCCCTGCTTGAGTAGGGAGGTTGCACAGATGACCCACTGTGGTCCTTTTCAGCTTGGCCCATTCGGTGATTCTCTTTCCCAAACATTTAACATAAGCATTTAATTACAAAGAGGAAGCAATATTTAACTTCACATTCTGATTCTGCATTTTTCTAACTGCAGCCCCTTCTACTTACATAAAGTCCGGTATCTCTAAAGTAACACTTTTTCAAGATGATAATTTCTTATTTCTTATTCCATGTGGACCAGTCAAGCCCAGTGCATTTTCTTACAGGGGTGGTTTAGCCTGGCGAAAAGGAGACTCTGGAGGGGGGACTCCATCACTCTCTGTAACTACCTGAAAGAAGATTGTAGCAAGGTGGGGGTTGGTCTCATCTCCCAAGTAACAAGCTACAGGAAAACACAGCCTCAATTTGCATCAGGGGAGGTTTATATCGGATATTGGGAAAAATTTTTTTCACTGGAAGGGTTGCCCAGCATTGGAACAGGCTGTCCAGGGAAGTGGTTGAGTCACTATCCCTGGAGGTATTTAAAAGACATGCAGATCTGGCACTTGGGGACATGGTTTAGTGGTGAATGTGGCAGTGCTGGGTTTGCTGTTGGACTCAATCTTAGAGTCTCTTCCAAACTAAACAATTCTGTGATTCTATTTTGTTTACTCCTTTTCCCTGTCTGCAAGTCCTCACTCCTCCTCCACTATCATGCCGAGAGACTGCTCAGGGCCTGCAGCCAAAGCACACCACTACAAACAGCCATCTCGGGCTCGTCACACCCTTTGGTGGCTGAGGATGGAATGAGAAGTCCTACCAAAACAGCACTAGACACAGGTAGCAAAGCCAAAGGACAGGGGAGCCACGGCTCACAGTAGTTAGTCAGGGCACACAGCGACAAGGCTATTAAGTACAGTTTGGGAAAATGTCAATAACCCTATAGCCTTCGCTTCACCTTTAATGTAGAAGAGGTTTCACAAGGTAGGAAGGATCTCAGAAAATTAAATGAGGTTGGACATGTCATAATTCATAAGGTCACTTGGGATGATACCTGTGTCTGTTCCTCTCCTTTTGGGTTTTTTCCCCATTCTCATGGGTTTCCAGATAGCTTCAAGGTTTTGCCTGTATTAATAACCCTTCCCCTTTTCTTAGCTTCACCTGTACTTCAGAAAAAAAAAACATAACTAAAGATAGGAAGGAATATTTTCTTTAGCTTTGTATCATGCTACTCCTGGGCTTTTTGGTTTTGGTTCTTACTCCCTCATCTTTTGTTCTCTCTTTCTGAAGAGAAAAACTAACTTCATAACTTGTTCTTCATATTTGCAATTCCTAGTTCTTCGACCTCAACTCTCCAGCTGCCTCTTGCTTGAGCTGCAAGAGCTCTTAGTGCTTACACCTGTGCCAGGAATCAGCATACCATCCATTACCTAAATAAGGACAGGGCAGTTGAAACATTACATGCTTCCCAAGAGTTTCTACCACACAGCTGGATGAGCCATTTCTTTTTGGGAAGATGTCCCTTCATCAGGTGGCTAACAGACCCCTTACCTTTACCCTTCTGTGGGGAAAACACCATTATCTTCTCTGAGAGACTGGGGATGTAAAGAACATGGGCTACGCTGCCCAAGGCAAGTTTAAGAAAAACATTTTTCCAGTGCAGTGTTCCAGCATCCCTGTGCTCAGACATTAGATGCCGATACCAGCAACCTAAGAGGCCACAATTCTTTTATTCAAGGTTGATCCCATTGGTAGTCCCCTTTTTTTTTAATGTAAGATGCCTATGATGGATGCACTCACTGATGAACAGTACCTTGCTACTTTGGTACCATCCCTGCAGTGCAAACCCAGAGAATCATCCTAAGCTGTATCTTACCCAGGAACAAAGGAGCTTAGGCCATGTCTTTTTAGAAGCCCACAGTACCAGTCTGAGCTGGAACTAGTTAGATCTGAAACTGCTATAGCTGCACACCTGCACATACACCAAAAGGGGGTTTGACTACAAGTCAATCACTTTAAATATCTGCAGCCCCATGAGGCCACTGAGCTCTCCCATATGGCAGTGGGCTGCTTGGCAATGATTTCGCCCTTGAGCAGGGATGCCTCTTAAGGTTAATTCTCAAGACTGAAAGATCCCTTTACCCAACATCTGATATCTATAATGTGGTAGTGACATTTTACATTAAACCTAAAAGTATAATGTATACCAGTGCCAGTTTTTTATATAGCCAGCTATAGCTTAATTATCAGAAGTGTAGCAAGCAGTAGACTGTTTGACTAGAGTCTGAATTATTGTTTATACAATCATTTAAAACACTGTCAAATCAGTTTAATTACCATTTAATTATTACTTTATAACAATTCTATCATCATCATATTTTTATTTAGTTGTCAATTAATTATCCTTTGATCATCATTTCATCATTAATAAAACCTTTTTAGGTAACCCCACACTGATGACTTAATTCACCTGTGACACCCTCCTACAAGCAAAAGACTCAAACCTTAGTTTAGAATTAAGACGTACACAGGTCACTAGCTATCTCCTGACACTAAAGCAGCCAGGAGCAGCTTAGGCTTTACAAAACCAGGGGACAATTACGCAAAGTGACTTTGCACAATCAGGTCCATGAGCTTTTGGGAGAAGTGCCTCAAACAGGACACAAACTCCCATTATTGCTGTTCTTTGTGATTCTGTCCCTCTTGTGTGGAGGGAAACTTTCACCAAAGAGTCAGTTTGTACTGCAGAGTGGATTTCCACCCTCATTGTGCACCCAAATAAATCTATACTATTATTATTCTGTTTAGCAATATTTTAAATACAACACTATGCCCTGTATGTATTGCAAAACAATATCAACAGATAATGTAACCTGAGTATTAACAGGTAATGCAACAACTGCAATATTCCAAAAGCAACTTACCTTATCGTTGGAACACATAGACCTAGTGAAGCTGTCCAAGAAATACAAGGGAAACAATACAGATTAAGTTAAACAAGATATGTCAGTGTGTTCTACAGTGAAAAAAAAAAAATGGAACCTATCTAAAAACCTAACTGCATAAAAAGTTTCGTGAAGACATGCCCTTAGGTCTTCACAGAAATACCACAAATTCAGCAGGTTCCCAGGCAAACACATAACACGCACAAGTGCGGTTTAAGGAAGGACAGAAGGTCCAAGTTACCTGCTTTTCCTCAAATCTGTCAATTCTACTAGAAAGCCTGGAAGAAGTGAACTAATTAAGCAACAACAAGTACAAACACATTCTCTGTACACGAACTGCATCTTAGTAATTTCTTGTTTGCGTAATTCTGTAGATTCCCATACAAGGAGGTAATTGGTCTTGAGAAACTTTATCCTTGGTGGATTTTGACTGGACCACAACTTTGTTTCTGATTCATGACAAAGAATGAGGACACTGTTGGTGACTACAGAGGTCATTTTACTGCCTCTGCACTGTGTCTTACCTTAGAAAGTACAGGAGAAACTCTGAACTTAAACTAATTCTACCCTACTACTCTCCTTTCTCCTAACATTAACTTAAAAAAAAAAAAGATTCAGAAATGCTTATGTCCTTTATTTTTGCTTAGGAATTTGATTCATTAGAGTGCAAACGTGTTAAGGCAGAATTTAATGACTACTTTCAAAATGACTTTCTGAATCTGTTGCAAAACTTTATCTCTCAGAGAAGGTGGATAAACTGGATTATACTCCCAGTACCTCATAGATAAAAGCTACTAGAGATTAACTGAGACTGCATGTACTGACAACCTGAATTCATTAGAGCAACTTGATCACACCAACTTGTCAAGATCAGGCCTAAGACCATGGCACTACTAGCCTATTCCAGAAGGAAGCATTGTAATGACAAACATATTAAAAAGCCCATTTTTCAAATACATGTGTGCACACTTTGCCTGAACAGATTTTGACTGAGCCTCTGCGATGATGCAGAATTTTCCCTATGCACTTCATCTAGGTCAAGGAACATCAGAGAAGCTGAAATTCTTTTCAATTTAAATTACTTGACTTTGTCATTATTAGTCTCCTGTTACGGTCCTTTCTCAACTGCCTTGCTAGACCAAATGTCCTTTAGTCACTTTTAGTTTTACACAAACTAAGTAACTGTCAAACACAAATTTTGTTACCTTGATGTTGTTGTTTTTTTCCCCCCAAGCACTTGATAAATGTCTAACATCTGTTCTAATTGCAAATTTTTCTGGTCTTCCAGGCTAGTAATTCATTCCAGTTCACAATTTTTTTTCTTCTGGTTTGATAACTTTTCACACAAGAGACAAAAGAAAAAATGTAACAGATTACAAAATCTGTTCTGAAAATCTATTTTTTTTCCAGGAACTTCTCTTTATAGGATAACACACAAGAAAGTGAGGGAGAATCATCCTGTAGAACAGTTGTGTTAATTTTTCCTTATAAACCCTTAGCAAAAAGCCATATTTTAGACCCAGTTTTTAAAAATCTGAAATAAGAAAGCACAGGTGGCACTTAGTGCTTTCTTTTTTTCCAAATAAGAACTAGACACTAGTGGCTGAGCATCAGCATGAATTTTCTCTAATGAAAGGCAGTGCAGCTGGCAGCAGCTCAGACACTTCACTCTCAGTATAGTACCTTGATATTTTTCCATCTAATTCTGATGATTTCTTAACAACTTGTACCTTCAACCTATTTTAAAAGGTAATTTTATTTAACATGGTGCTGGTTTTTATGTGATTTCAGGTATGATATTTTTCTTCCTGGAATGCAAAATGCAATTTCAACTAATTTCTAGTAACTCTTACTTACCATGACAATGTTAGAAAATGAAACGTTTCAATTGTGGAATTCAATCTACTACTACCTGCTTTAGACCTCACCTCCTTGTTATTTACTTTACACTTGAGTAATAGGTACCTTGTCTTTCTGAATACCTTTGTTCTACACAAATCATGCTTACCATCCGACTGCTTCAGCTGCTGTATTTCAGGAAGAAATTCCAAGATAAACTGCCAACCCAAATCCTGTAATCCTTCACATTTCATTTCTTTACATACAGTAGCAACTCATATTCCTTGTAGCCACTGAAATAAATGGTTGTACATTAAAAAAAATCCTGTGCAACAACAAAGATACCAAAATTTGTAGCCCACTTACTTAAAAAAAGAGCCATTAACACATTCTGTAAATACATTTATTTATTGACAAGATCTCAAGCTTGTCTGAGGTCATCCATCTGGAATATACCTTTCAAAGTGTATGTACATCAGACAGGTACAGCAGTAACGCTTTGTTAGAAGGATTACAACACCTGGATCTGGTTAGTCATCAAGATTCAGATTTACAGGAAAGTCCTCAGCATTTACATTCAGTGGGACTTCAGGATCTCCAGTCAGTAGGGATGAAGGAAGGTTTATCTTACATGTAGTTCCTGTTTGTGAGGACCACATCAAGTGAATATGACTTACCCATGCTCTGATTCACAAGGTGATCAATAACTCGTAGCCCAAAGTCACCTGAATTTTATCATTGCTCCACAGCACAGGTCCACCAGCCACCCCCAACCTGCTTCATTTCTTTGTCACATTAAAACTGTACTTCGTGCTTCCTCTGTATTTGCATTTTCTTATATCACACTACTGACCTCCTATAACTTGTCTTGTACTACTGAACGTGGAGGTGTCTGCATTCAATTGGACACTGCCATTTTTTACTCCACTTCAGCTCTGTGGTAATTCAGAACTACTTTGCTACATTTCTGTCCTTACTCCATCATGTATGAAGCAAGATCGAGGCCCACACTGCAGAGCTCTGAATAAGGTTCACAAGACACCTTTCTTTAGTCATCAGACTACTGTCTTCCAGTCGAACTACCCTTCAGCTCCAGGACACCAATCCACTTCAGTACCAGTAACTGACAGTACCAGACTGCCCTGCAGCAATTGAAAGGAAACAACCCTCTGGCCTCTGCCGCCAGTTCAACAACTTGCTTGCCCTACAACCCTGAAAGCACTGAGGCATTCCTCAGCTTAGATGCCCTGTGGGATTGCAAAGGGACTGCAAACACTTCCAGTAAGGAGCATGCCATGATCCATGGGAAGGTACATGCCAAAGCTATCCTGGCTCCAGCTCACTCAGGCTAGGTCCACAACCTCCTATCCCACTGGGTGAAGGACTCTGCTTGGACAGCAGTTACCATGAGCTCCCATAATAATATTATTTGCTCTTCCATCTCACAGAAGAAGGATGTACAGGTATACATCAGTGTTACTTGTACAAGTTTTATGGAAAAGCCCTGAAAGTAACAAGCAAGAGAGATGAAGTGGCATTTAAAGACATTTTAAACTACAGATAGTACTTGCAACAAGCTGTTTCTATAACATGGTTTTACCTTTACATGGCTTTTTAATACTCATTTATTGACCCATTCTGCCTCTGGCCTATCATTGCTCTGCCCAGGCTCATTCCACCTGCTTTCATTCAACTTTGAGACAGTCTGGCTCCTGCCCATCTGATCACTGCCTTCCAACAAAGACAATCCAAGCCATTTTGACAGAGCATTTATTCGCAGGGCAACACCGAAGCAAGAGAAATTTTCAGAAAAATTCTGGTAAAGGCACCAAGCTTTGCATTCTCCACATTAATATGCAATAGAGGTCCCTGTGAACAACAACAGCTTGAATGAGACAACTGAGCTGGCACCTATTTTCCCTTGGGGCAGCAGGTGAATGACAGAGGACAGTCAAGTCACTTGGATTCACACACACAGTAACAAGGCTATGACCCTCTGCTCCCAGTCAGCTGCAGGTGTATCACTGTACTCCTTGGCAGGCCACGTCACCTAATCCATGGCACAGGATCAATCAAACAGTGCAGTACAGGACTTGCTTCACAAGGCAGAAAGGCACACCTGAACTGGGGTCAGCACCTGGCAGCACCCCACCTTAGCTGACATCAATACCCACTTACAGCTTTGGGAGTCAAATTGCCAGAGGAGCTGATTATTATTACATTATTATTATTATTACAAGAACCACCCCTACTCTGTGCTGCAACAGAACAAGGAACCTGAAGGAGCTGCCAGTAAATACTGGAGCAAGCAATGAGAAAAACAACATCCTCATTTAGCTACTTACATCCCACATTTGGAACTTACCGTCTTTGCTCATCTCCTGTGCAGTGAGCTTTCTGTACCTGCACCTCTGTTCAAATGAGTTTAGCTGCTTACAAGCCCCATGCCAACTCAGGGAACTCAGATGAGGTCCAGACAGCTCCTCAATTAATTTGCAGGTAACACTAAAACCAACAAAAGTTCACACACCAAAGAAGTCATAGGATGCACATTCCCAAAGAACGGGAATTCAGCTAAACTGCTAACGTCAACATCAAAATGAGGGATAATGTTTTCTTTAACCAATCAACTCTGAAAAAGGGTAACTGATGCATAAGCAAGCAGGCAGGACACATATATGACCATTTCTAATATCTAAGGATAACTTCCTACCTTTGACTACTAATAGGTAGACAGATACAAACAGCCAAGACAGAATAACAGGAAAACGTAGGGAACAAATCTGTATTCAAGATACTCTAACACTCTAATTTGTGCACAACACATAAGCACCACCCTGAATGAAGAAGTCAAGTTTCAGCCTATAGTGAGAGGTGACCTACTTTGCGTATTGCCTCTTGGGAACAGGAGATCAAGACCGTGAACAGAAGGCAGGCACACAGTAACATGCAATTGTAATTTGAGTTCATTTGGTCATGAAGACAAGCCCTTAGGCATTTAGTTCCAATTTAAACCATAGCTTTAACAGTTTAATTAAAGCACTTCCACATTTAATTTAAGCAGAATAGGTTTTATCAGAAAGTTAAACAAACCCAAAAAGTTGTATTTTTCAAAACCATACTTTATTTTTTAAATGCTAAGAGAAGTATTCAGAACTATATTTCTTAAGCAAAAAGATTCACATTTCATTCTGCAAGGTCATTAGTATGAGAAAAAGCATTTGGGGATTTACCTTTTTGCAACCATTGTTGAGTTCCTACACCAAACCAGATTTGTTTCAAAATGGTAACATCAGTTACGGCTTAAGATACAGAATTACAAAGAAGTAATACAAACCTTGAGACTCAAGTGTTGAACAGGTAACTAGGGTCATTTTTTCTACAGAAAGATGTTTTAACTAAGACAAACAGAAGCAACAACTTTGTCTTTATTGGTAGACAAATCCACTGGACATCATCAGCACAGACACTGCTTCAAGGATACCCATGCTGTTAAACTGCAAGTGTTAAAGAATGTTCTGTCTGCTCCAATTACTTCACCTTTTCCTCCATATCCCATACCTACAAACCATGGAGGTATGAAACCACAACAGCTTTTTGTTTTGACTTTTTCTTTTGGGGCTTTGCTTTGTTTCAAAGAAGAGGATACAAGAAAAGACGGAAGACTACAGAATGCAGTGAAGAAAGAGTCATCACCTCTAAAGAGACAGCAGGACTTTGACCAAGACACTTTAATCAGTAAGCATGTAAGGACTCAAACAGAACCCAGAGCTGCAATTTCGTTGGGAATTCTCCCCTTCACCGATTTATAACTCTGCATGTACATGTTCTGGATGGCTTGCATTCAGTGGGACAGAGGTAGTGATGGGAACAAGATTCCTTCCCTAAAGTTTCCAAATAGATGCAACCTGGTAAGCATGGCCCCAAGGAAGGGTGAGTGCAACCAGTGGAGGCCCTGCCAACTGGGAAAGGACAGGAGCACAAGCACAGGCAGTGAGCTGCTCTCCCAGACCCAGACTATAAATAAAATGTTACATAAAGGTGCTGGACAAGAATTGAACAAGTAACAAAACCTCTGTGGCCTCTGCAATACGTATGTCATGCCAGGCTGTGCAAAGGATAGGTTTGTACCTTTCCTGCACAGTTGTGGTGATCAAAAATGATACAATACTTGCAGTACTGCCAGAAGTTCCAGTGTGTAACTAGCTAGCATGATTATACTGATAATAGCTATATAAAGTCAGTCACCTATTTAAAAAAAGGGAAAAAACCCTGTATTTGCAGACAATTCCTTTATCCAGTTAATACTTCAGACTTGTCCCACCTTTGCTACTTGTGACTAGGCCAATTTTTCTGTCCAAAGGGGATTAAGACAGACTTCAACTGTTAAAGTTCTTTCCTCTTAAAAAAAAAAAAATCTCTTAAAAAAAAATTAAAAAAAAAAAAATTTGCATGTTTTTATCTTACACTCCTGAAATATTACAATTTCTCACAGAAGCATTCATTCAGAGGAAACTGTCTGTAACACTTATAATAAAAGCTTGCAACTCTTGGACAAGAAGGGATGGTTGAAACCAGGTTATCTGAATACAATTTGGGTTTCTATAAACCAATAATTGAATAAAGTAAATGCTTGGGGTTAGAGAGTAGTTCTCCTTAGAACTTCCTCTTCTTAAAAAGATCAGAGGTAAAGTGGTTTGTTTTATTGCAACACTGGTTAGCCAAATCCAATCCTTCCCATTCAGATATGATTTTTAAAGAACCAGGGATTTTATGGTTTACTGCCAAATTTGGCAGACAATTTACTGATGAGATTCATGACCTTGGGATTGTTCTGGTACTTGGACATATTTGCTGGGTTCTGCGCAACATCTTGGAATGCAACCATAACTTCTGGATCCTGGAAGACAAAAAGCGAAAAAAAAATTAGAGCATTTGTAAAACAAGCCTACAAAAGTTAGTGGTTACGTGGTTCCACATGAACCTAGTCTTCCTCAGTTTTTAACATGGCAAGACTACATTAGACTCTTGGCAGGAAGTCTGTAAAGAGAATCCTGTTGTTAAAGCTGTGTCAGTAAACACCAGAGTCATTACTGAACTGGTTACCCTAATAGCTCACTGTGTGAGAAGGGGAATAGGATAAGAGTTCTGTTTCTCCAGAACAGGAGCTATTAAACACAGCTACACCTACTGCATTATTTCTGTTCAGGCATCTTTCAAATGCATTTTGAAGAAGGAAGCAGCTCCATGTGTGTAGCATTCAAAACTGTTTAACAAGTCTGATCCTA